GTTTCTGTGAAATCTATAGTAGCCCTTGTAGCAGGCATTATTTAACAAAATACAAGTATTAAATATTACGGGAGCAATGTCACAAATATCATACACTCAGAGACTACAAAAGTGTGACACATTAGTACCAGAGTATGAATTCTTATAATAATACTCCTTGCAGCATCTACCTGCATTAACGGTTGGACTTGATGATCTTAGAGGTCTTTTCCAACCTAAATGATTCTATGATTCTATTCTACGATTCTTTTGTGAGTCCAAAGCCATCTTTCTCCTTAGTGGGTCTCAGCTGGAATTGAAGCACTGACTTGCCACGTCAATGTAGGAGATTTCAGCGAAAAATTTGACAGAGGATCACTAGCTTCCTTTTTTATCCTTCAACAAATGACAAAAATCCTCAGAGAAAAGTATTTTTATTTAAGTCATTGTAGCAAATTCTGTTAAAGTTATATCCTCATGTCCATGTTGACTTCATGTAAGCTTGGCTTCAAGAAAAATGTAGGGTTATTTTTTGGGTTTCTTCAATTAATCTGCTAATTCTGATTTTTAAGTACCGATTTCAATTTGCTAAGTATGTCTTCATCGAACCTTACTGACTCTTCCAACAGTTGCTAACCAAAAAATAATTGCATTCTACCACATCCCTTTCCATCTCTTCTTCCTCTATAGCACTTGAAGGAGTGGAGGGAATTGTATATACAACTGCAAAAGGTACGGATGAAGGAAACTATCACTGCGGAGGAACTGCTAGAGGAGGAATTATTTTGCCTTAAAATAGTTACACTTTGTCATGACTCAAAGTTTCATCTTTCTTTCTGAGTGGCTAATAACCTTTGTGACAAAAGAATGACATAGCAGGAAATTTTCAGAACTATCATTTTATTTCCATCTTAGATAGCCTATGCTCCTTCTGTATTCCCATGGGAATGGTCTTAATCTCTCTTTAACAAATTTTTTTTTGAGGATGTAATATTTAAAACTATTTAAAATATAGAGGACAGATATAGTATCATAATAGTCAACAACTTCAGAAATGAAAGGCCCCTAGCATGCTTCTCTTTTATTCAACATGTTACTTAATGCAAATGATGAAAACAACTATCTCCCTTCATGCACATATCATCAACCACTGTACTTATTTTCAAACAGCTATGTACAATCATTTCAGCACCTCTGAAACTTCAGACAGGTCTTTTTATTTAGAATCATAGAATCACTGAGGTTGTAAAAGACCTCTAAGATCATCGAGTCCAACCATCGACCCAAC